GGTGGGTGAGCAGCCAGCCAGCTGCCGCTGCTCAGTCCTAACGCTTTTGCTGGTGGGCCCTCACTTGAAAATTATGCCCCCATCAAAGGCTCCAGGTTAGCTCTAACACTTCTAGGAGGTGAAATACAGGCTCATCTCTCTAAACACCTAGGTGATCCATGACATGATGCCCACACTGACCCTGGAAGAACTGTTTGAGCACCCCGGGAGCCAGCGGAGACGTGGAGAAACCTTCCCCTTCCATGTCAAGAGCATGACATCAGCCCACAGCTTGTAAAGGGGGCGGAAAGCTGAATGCCAGACAGCAGGCCGCCCTCGTAAAATCGGACCAGTTCAGTGATTAGGCTGCCCTGGAGTCCCCTGGGCCAGTCCGTACCGGCTTCAATAGCACCCCTGCTAGCTATTATCTCAGAAGGACGCTCATTATAGAAAATCATGTCCCTCTGCCAAGTTCTCGTGTCTCACTATTTTTGGAATGACAGAGGCAGGCTCTGTGCCTCAGCAACTGTCAGCAGAGCCACATGGAGAGCAAATCCATATAACGATCAGGCTAGCAGGGACAGTGCTGGAAACAGCATTGCCTGGGGGACGGTCCCCTGGAAGAACCCTGCGGTCATGAGAAAAGGGATAAGGGCAATGAACATAAAACCCAGAAGCTATTTGACACTATTTGCATGGGAAGCTGATCTCCCCCAGCCCTTTTCATTCTCATGCATATGAGTGGAGACAAAAGGATTTAAAAGCAAACCACCTGTGCAGGAAGGATGGTTCCTAAACCCCAAAGAAGACAGGACCTACTTACTGCAAACTCATTTTAATTAAAACATTCCAGGATCCACATTCCCCAGGATTAAATTACTGACTTAGCTATTATACATATAGCCTCTTTCACCCATTCTACGACAGTATTGTTGAGGTGTTGGATGACCAGTGTCAGGTAAATGGAAACGAGCATTTTTTGGTGCTTGTGACCCCTAACACAGGATCCACAATTATCCACAGGTCAGCCCCAGCACCTGTCAGCAGCTCACAGATTACTGCAGCAGGAGCATAATCCTCTCTGACTTTAAAGGATGATTCTAAGGCCCTAGAAAAAGCAGAGGTAAATGGCTTAGGCAAGATGGAAAGTTCCCAAAGCAAGGCTTTCAATGAGAAAAAAAAAAAAAAAATTAAAAAAGCAGAGATGTGGTGAGCAAGGAAGACCTCACACAGATGCAGCTGGAGCAGGACTTAAACTGCCCCCTGCCCTCCCCCCCACCCC